CATTAATGAACAGACAAATTTGGAAACTTATATCTTCTCAAGCTAAAGAAACAGATAAGCTTCTCACAAAGGTAGCATACCAATCATCTGCAATTCTTTGGCTACTAGATAACTTGCTTAGAGCAATTTATAATACAAAGTCTAATAACGATTCTGAGGCTCTCCAGGTATGAGAATACATTGAGACTACACTTAGAAACTCAAGATCCCTCTTGTTAGATTCACTATCATATACAAATGAGCTCAGAAGACAACAATCACTCAAGGTTATTTCTCCTAACTATGCCCCTCCAATAGATAAAGATGAAGTGTTTGGTAAGAAACTTAGTTCAATTATTGAGAAAGAAAACTCTACCAATAAACTCTTTGACAAAATGGCAGAAAACTGTAAATGACAAAATTATAGAGATAACAGTAGTAAACCCTCTTATCATAGAAATAATCACCATTTTGGCTGAGTGCGAAGAAGCAATTACTGGCCATACAATTGATCACAAAATTAGGAAAATAAATTTTGGGGTGGCCACAACTATAGAGGTTGCCCAAGAACATATAGCAACCCAAACACTTCAACAAACTAAAAGAAGTTTCAATACCAGTAGGAAAGAGCTTGGTGTCTTGTCTAAAAGAATAGTTACATGTACCCTTATTATTATTGGCATCATGATATTTTGTATTCAATATTAGCAATCATCATTACCACTTTACTGCTTTCCTATTCGGCCTAACGTGCAGCTCCAGAATATTCACAAAATTAATGAAGCCAATTCTAACATAGACAAGAAGCCAAGAAATAAGGCTTATAATTTATCTAGATAACATTCTTTTACTAGCCTGTTTAGAATCAGAGATGATAGATCAGACAAGAATATTAATTCAACTTCTGAAAAACCTGGGCTTCAGGATTAATACAACAAAATCCAATTTAGTACCATCACAACAGGCAGAATTTCTCAGCTTCACAATTGACTCAAGAAAGATGAGCCTGGCCTTTCTAGGAAAAAGTCAACAACCTGAAAAATGATTGCATCATGATCACAAGAAAACATTTGCTATATATAAAAAAATTAGTTGCAGTCATTGAAAAGCTCTCAGCCACCATTGGGGCAGTCTTTCCAGCCAAACTAAAAACACAAGTATTGATAAGAAACAAGAATTTGGCCTTAAGAGATTGAGGATGGAACTCTCACCTGACCTTGTCAAACAAAGTATTGATCAACTCAACTAGTGAATCTTGAACTTGGAGACTTGGAATGGAACAAGTATAATTTAGCTCCAAACAACAACAACAATATATATGGATGGCTCGTTAACAGATAAAGTACAATAAAGAATCATGAATTAATTTATAATCACTGGACAGAAGCACAAAAAAGGTTATATATAAACTAG